ACACACACAAAAGGAGGGGACCCACAGGACTGACTTGAACCCAAAGAATGTGAAGTCGGGTCTGACCGGTGTGGCTCAGTGGATAGAGCGCCGGCCTGCGGACTGAAGGGTCCCGGGTTCGATTCCGGTCAAGGGCAGGTACCTTGGTTGCGGGCACATCCCCAGTAGGGGGCGTGCAGGAGGCAGCTGATCGATGTTTCTCTCTCATCGATGTTTCTAACTCTCTGTCTCTCTCCCTTCCTCTCTGTACAAAATCAATAAAATATATTTTTAAAAAAGAATGTGAAGTCGGGTCATTCGACCGGACAGCCACCCCCCTCTCAGAAGGAAGGCGCCGTCACCAGCGCCCAATCGCCACGCAAGGGTCCCCCCGGAAACACAACGGAAGGCGGACTGGAACTTACTTGTCAAACAGGACGATGTCTGGGGTCCAGAGAGCGTCTGACGGGACCCGGATGGCTCGGATCCCCCCGTAGTCCTCGGGGTTCCACCGGAGCTTCACGTCTCTCCACTCCTTTGAGACAAAGACAACGGCGTCGATTTCAACGGACTCAACCCTCACAGGGACTGGAAACGGTCAGACAGGAAAGCTTGGCCCCTCCCGACGGAGAGAGCGCCGGGCGCGCCTTCCCCATGGGCGCTGGGCCGCCTGTCCCTGCGGCCGCAGCTCTGAGCTCGGTCCCCGCGGCACAGGGAGCGCCAGGCGGCGTGTGCTCACGGCTCTGCTGTCACCCCTTCGCCAACCGCCAGCCGGGCCCAGGAGGTGCAGCCTCGGGCATCTAGGGTCCGGGTTCGAGGGAAACATGCCTTTTCCAGCTGTGCGACACGGACCGGCCGGACTGCTTCATGCAAACAGCAGCTGGACGCATTCCACGTTCCACACACGCAAACACCTTGTCCGGCCTCCACGGGGGAACGACGCTGGGATCATGTCAGGTTAAGACTCGCACCCCAAGGAAAGCACCGTGCCTTTTAGGAGTTCAGGGTCGGGGAAGTGGTGGTCGGTACTAAAAAGCAGGGACACTGGGGCGGTGGGGGCTTGCCCAGGGTGGGAATGGCTGGGGGTGGTGTCAATTGGAGAAAAAGGAGACATACGTAAAACTTCAGACAATAATAAAAAAAAGTAGGGACAGCCCGGCCAGCGTGGCTCAGTGGTTGAGCGTCAAGCTATGAACCAGGAGGTCAGGGTTTGATTCCAGGTCAGGGCACAGGCCCGGGTTGCGGGCTCCATCCCCAGTGTGGGGCGTGCAGGAGGCAGCCAATCCACGATTCTCTCTTGTTGATGCTTCTAATTCTCTGTCCCTCTCCCTTCCTCTCTCTCTAAAAAGAAATAAAAACATATTTTTTAAAATAAATAAAAAATAAAGCCCTAGCTGGTGTGGCTCAGTGGGTAGAGCTTCGGCCTGCGGACTAAAGGGTCCCGGGTTCGATTCCGGTCAAGGTCACGGACCTCGGTTGCAGGCTCCCCGGTCCTGGTCAGGGTGCGTGCAGGAGGCAACCAATTGATGTGTCTCTCTCACAACAAAGTTTCTCTCTGTCTTTCCCTCTTCCTTCCATTCTCTCTAAAAGTCAATGGAAAAATATCCTCGGGGGAGGATTCACAACAGTAAGTAAATAAATAAGAGGTCCCAGGTTCGATTCCAGCCAAGGGCATGGACCTGGGTTGCGGGCACATCCCCAGTGGGGGGCGTGCAGGAGGCAGCTGATGGATGTTTCTCTCTCATCGATGTTTCTAGCTCTCTCTCCCTCTCCCTTCCTCTCTGTAAAAATCAATAAAATATATTTAAAATATATATATAGATCCCAACACACCCTATTTTAGTTCCCAGCGTATTTTCCCCAGCTGATCAGTGTTCACTGCTGCTCCCCAGCGCCCGGCACTCAGATAACACCAACCCAGTAAACACGAGAACTCCACCACCCGGTCGGCCTGCCTCCCGCCAACCCGCCCAGCCCAGCCCTCCCTCGCGCCCTCCGTGCCGCACACCCTGTAGTGACAGGGTCGCCGGGCGCCAGGGGCGGCCTTTTGCGTTTGATACGTACCTGCTTCAACCAGACATTCGTGGTCATGAGCTGGTTCTTCTCGTCCTGAAAAACAGAGATTTCAATGAGGCCGACGGTTCCAACTGCGGACACCATGATTCCCTAAATACGAGTTCTCTCATTTTATGCCAACGCTCGCCCCGGGTGGGACCTGCGTTCTGTTCATCCGTCCACAAAGGCAGGGCCCTTTTCCAGCCTCGTGTCACATGATTCCTCCCAACGCACGCTGCATTTCAGACAAACTGCCCTCACGCTCACCATCGGCGTTTTTAGATTTAACACTCATCGTCTCAACCACCACATTTCCCCAGATCTGACAAAGATACAACCTAAGAGATGAGCACAGTGGAACTTTATGTACTTGCTGTACACGGGCCCTGGCTGGTGTGGCTCAGTGGATAGAGCGCTGGGCTGCAGACTGAAAGGTCCCGGGTTCAATTCCTGTCAAGGACACACGCCTGGATGGTGGGCTCGATCCCCAGTGTGGGGTGTGCAGGAGGCAGCCGATCAATGATTCTCTCATCATGGATGTTTCCATCTCTCTCTCCCTCTCCCTTCCTCTCTGAGATCAATAAAATAGATATTAAAAGAAAAAAAAAAGATTGCCCTCACCGGTTTGGCTCAGTGGATAGAGCATCGGCCTGCGGACTGAAGGGTCCCGGGTTCGATTCTGGTCAAGGGCATGTACCTTGGTTGCGGGCACATCCCCAGTGGGGGGTGTGCAGGAGGCAGCTGATTGATGTTTCTCTCTCATCAATGTTTCTAACTCTCTATCCCTCTACCTTCCTCTCTGTAAAAAATCAATAAAATATATATATATTTTTAAAAAGATCATAGCCACCAACCACAACACACTGTGTAAGTTACAACACTCAGCACAGAGCCCTGGCTGGTGTTGCTCAGTGGATAGAGCCCTGGCCCGTCCCTAAGACAGGAGAACGACCCGGAAGGGAGGAGGAGGAGGCCCCAGGGAAGCGGGTCCCAGAGGCGAAGGCGGCCGTGGGGTCCTCGCCCGGGAAGCAGGGGCCCGGGGGGCACCGCCTGGCCGTCCCTCTTAGGCGGCCAAGGCTCCGAAGAGCAATTTCAACCACACGGAGCGTGAGGCCGGGTCCGGAAGGACTCGCACACCTACCACGTCCACCAGCTGAGATATGGCGAGGCCGGGTCCGGACGGACTCGCACACCTACCACGTCCACCAGCTGAGATATGGCGAGGCCGGGTCCGGACGGACTCGCACACCTACCACGTCCACCAGCTGAGATATGGCGAGGCCGAACTTTATTCCGATCTTGTCGTCCAGGCGCTCCACGGGGCGGACCCACCTCTCGTAGTCCTGAAACAGATCCTTGAACAAGCTGTCCTCGTGCTTGGCCACAAAGAACGGTTCAGCCGGGCCTGTGTCACAGATTGTCAAAAGTTAGTATGTTGGCTTCTCTCCTGCCACATACTTCGACTAAAAACACACACACACACACACACACACACACACACAAAAGTTTGTCATGGTCCTGGCCAGTGTGGCTCAGTGGATAGAGCGCCGACCTGCAGACTGAAAGGTCCCAGGTTCGATCCCGGTCAGGGCACAGGCCCGGGTTGTGGGCTCGATCCCCAGTGGGGGACTTGCAGGAGGCAGCCGATCCATGATTCTCTCTCATCACGGATGTTTCTATCTCTTCCTTCCTCTCTGAAATCAATAAAAATATATTTTCAGAAAAAGTTTGTCATCATTCATAACCCCAAAACTATTACTTAGGCTATGATTAATAGTCCTTTTCAAGTGCAATATTAATACAAACGTCTGCGATCAATGAGGACCACTCTGTTCAGATACATTTCTTAGTTAATCCGATTACTCGCGCGGGAACATGCTGAGTTCCTTAAGGAGCACTCAACTCAATACAGAGGCACTTAGACTCTAAGGAACCGCCCGGCCGGCGTGGCTCAGTGGTCAAGCGGCACCCCGGGAAGTCACGGTTCGTTTCCCAGTCAGGACACACGCCCGGGTCGTGGGCTCGATCCCCGGTAGGGGGCGTGCGTGGAGGCAGCCGATCCATGATGCATTGTCATCATTGATGTTTCTGTCTCTTTTTCCCTCTCCCTTCCTCTCTCTGAAATCAATCCTATATAATAAAAGGCTAATATGCAAATCGACCGAACGGCGGAACGACCGGTCGCTATGATGCGCACTGACCACCAGGGGGCAGGCGCTCAACTCAGGAGCTGCCCCCTGGTGGTCAGTGTGCTCCCACAGGGGGAGCGCCACTCAGCCGGCTCATGGCTGGCGAGCGCAGCAGCGGTGGCAGGAGCCTCTCCTGTCTCCACTGCAGGCAGATGGTAAGGAGCTAGGGGTTCTGGACTGCGAGAGCCTGGACTGTGAGAGGGATGTCTGACTGCCGGCTTAGGATCAGGCCTAAGCTGGCAGGTGGACATCCCCCCAAGGGGGTCCCAGACTGCGAGAGGGCACAGGCCGGGCTGAGGGACCCCCCCTCCCCCAGTGCGCAAATATCATGCACCGGGCCTCTAGTAAAGATACATTTAAAAACAAACAGACACAGTTCTTTTTTTTTTTTTAATATATTTTATTGATTTTTTACAGAGAGGAAGGGAGAGGGATAGAGAGTTAGAAACATCGATGAGAGAGAAACATCGATCAGCCGCCTCCTGCGCATCTCCTACTGGGATGTGCCCGCAACCCAGGTACATGCCCTTGACCGGAATCGAACCTGGGACCTTTCAGTCCGCAGGTCGACGCTCTATCCACTGAGCCAAACCGGTTTCGGCAACAGACACAGTTCTGATGTTATGCCCCCCATGTGGCTCTTTGGCCCCTTGGGTGTGGCTCTTCCTAAGCCTGAGGAGCACCCTAATTAAGTGAATAACAATGTACCTACCTATATAGTTTAAGTTTAAAAAATTTGGCTCTCAAAAGAAATTTCAATCGTGGTACTGTTGATATTTGGCTCTGTTGACTAATGAGTTTGCCGACCACTGCTCTAGGGTAACTACTGCTCAGTTTGATGTACAGACATTTTAAAAAACGCAGACACAGAGGAATAACAAAAGTCTTCTCTTTAAGTTCTGCGACTTGCTCTTTTTTTTTTTTTTTCATTCAGTGCTCGATGTCGGTACCCGTCTATCCATCTCCAGTCTCTCTTCACAGGTGGCAAGGGGGTCCGGGCCACGGGTGTGCTGTCATTTACGTAAGCTTTCTCCACCGACGGGCGTGTCTATTATAGTCCCCGGTTTGGGGTTATTTCTGACAGCGCCACAGTGGGAAAATGCTGTCGTTACCGTCCTTGTACGCCTTTTCTTTCCACACTTACACAGAATTTATGGCACTGACTCTTAGAACTGCTGAGTCAAGCGAACACGCATTTCCAATCTTGCCAGTTGCTGCCAATGGCGTGCCCGTTCGTCTGCACCAGCCGTCATAAGAATAAAATAAGATAATATATCTGAAAGCTTTGTAAGAGGGTAGAGGCTATTGTGTCCCCAACGCATAAGCCAGGCATTCCCCTCTAGGTCTCCTTGGATCTTTTTTTTTAAGTTCACAAAAAGTGACTTATATCCCTTTTTTTTTTTTTCCCAAATCCTTTTGTAACAGTCCCAGGAAGGCTATTTTGAGCAATGGCGAGCTAATACAGCAGTGAACACAATCAGCCGATTTGTCAGCAAGAAGAAAGCTGTGCTATAGCCAACACTTTCAATGTGACAGATAAGTACTTACCAGTCACTGTTTTAAGTATTACAGGTGAAATGCAGAGGGTGTGTGGTTTTTTTCCCCCCCATTCTAGGATTTTCATGATATTTTCTACTAGAGGCTCGGTGCATGGAAATTCATGCACTGGAGGGGGGGTCCCTCGGCCCGGCCTGCCCCCTCTCACAGTCGGGGAGCCCTCAGGGGCGGGAGGCGACCTGGCGATCAGGGGAAGGTGATGCCCCCATCACACCTCTGCTGCTGCCACTGCCAGCAGCGCAAGCCTGGGCCGGCCCTGGTTACCTGAGCCTCGGGTGGCCCTGGGCGGCTGGGGGGCTGAGGGAACTGGGCGCCGCCATCTTTGAGGGCGTGGTAGTCAATTAGCATATTCCCTCCTTATTAGCATATTCCCTCCTTATTGACTGTGGGCGCCCTGGTGGTCAGTGCATGTCATAGCGAGCTGTTGAGCGGCCTTAGCATATCATTAACATACTGCACTTTGGTTGGTTGAACAGACGACCAGAAGACCGGATACTTAGAATATCAGGCTTTTATTATATAGGATGTGCATAACCCACGGACACAGACAATAGGGTGGTGAAGGCCTGGGGCAGGGACAGGATGGGCTAGAAGCGGCCAATGGGGGGGGAAGGGGACATTTGTAATACTTTCAACAATAAAGATTTCTTAAAAAATATATATTTCTTTATTGATTTCAGAGAGGGAGAGATAGAAACATCAATGTTGAGAGAGAATCATTGATTGGCTGTCTCCTGCACGCCCCCTAGTGGGGATCGAGCCGCGATCCGGGCATGTGCCCTTGGCCAGAATGGAACCCGGGACCCCTCAGTCTGCACACCGACGCTCTAACCACTGAGCCAAACCGGCCAGGGCTAAAGATTTTTTTTTAAAAAAAATCAAGGTGGCTGGGTTGGTGGTGGCGGAGAGGGGTGGGGGAGACGAGGGGAACAATTTTGTTCCCTAAGGCACATTGGATACCATCTGGAGACCTTTTTGGGCGGACGCTACCGGCATCTTGTGAACAGAGGCCAGGGATGCCGCCACACAACCTACAAAGCCAGGACAGTCTTCAAAACAAAGACCCACCCAGCCCCAGAGGAGGAACCCTGAGCTAGAGGGACAATAGGTCTCCCCAATTCCACATCTACCCCGGGGACCGTAAAATAAAAAGAACAAAAATAATATCAAAAGTTCAGCCCGGCCTGTGTGGCTCAGTGGTTGGGCGTCAACCCACAGGAACCAGGAGGTCACAGGTTTGAGTCCCAGTCGGTCGGGGCACAAGCCAGGCTGTGGACTCGGCCCCCAGGAGAGGGCGTGCAGGAGGCAGCTGACCGATGTTTCTATCTCTATCCCTCTCCCTCTCCCTCTAAAAATCAATAAAAACACATATATACTTTTTTAAAGTTCACGTTGCCTTTTTTGTCAGAATTCAAATATTTATACCTAATTCCTACTTTTTACCGATAAAAGGTTATGTTTTACAATTCTACGTTAGAAGAAAAAGAGCAGAAGGTCACTGAATTAAACACAGGAGAGACAATGTCACGCTCCCCAAAATAGAAACAGAACATTTAAATTACAATTTTAGTCACCGAGCAGAAAAGGATCGTTAAAAATAATGGGCTGGCCCTGACCGGTGTGGCTCAGTGGGTAGAGCGTCGGCCTGCGGACTGAAGGGTCCCGGGTTCGATTCCGGTCAAGGGCATGTACCTGGGTTGCGGGCACATCCCCAGTGGGGGGCGTGCAGGAGGCAGCCGATGGATGTTTCTCTCTCATGGATGTTTCTACTAACTCCCATTGCCAAGACATGCTTATTTCATATTAAATTTAAAAATTTCATCTGAAAGAATTTAATTCCAATTTTTAGGGGAGAATAATAATGCTATTAGAAGAAAAAAATGTTCTGTACTGAAATCACAGTACTAAACATTCACATACTAATTATCAAAAATGACTTCCTAGATCTAATTTATAGATTATAGTTTTAAAAAAAAAAAACCTTTTCTGAAAAGGCTATATTCATAAACTCTGGTCTAAAATGTATCCAGAGATACACAGATCAATAAAACCCTATAAGCCCTGGCTGGTGTGGCTCAGTGGATAGAGCGTCGGCCTTCGGACTGAAGGGTCCCGGGTTCGATTCCCGGTCAAGGGCACATGCCCGGGTTGCGGGTTCAATCCCCAGTGCGGGGCGTGCAGAAGGTGGCCAATCAATGCTTATCTATCATCACGGATGTTTCTATCTCTCTCTCCCTTCCCTTTCCTCTCTGAAATCAATAAAAATATATTTTAAAAAATAATTAAAAAAAATAAAACCCTTCAGATGCTCGGTCTAGCTCTAGCTCATAGAGCAGACTTAGTATCTGCAAGGAAGCCGAAATAATTGTTCGTTGCAGATTAAATTGCGTAAAAAAGTTATTTCCTGCCGAAACCGGTTTGGCTCAGTGGATAGAGCGTCGGCCTGCGGACCGAAGGGTCCCGGGTTCGATTCCGGTCAAGGGCATGTACCTGGGTTTCGGGCACATCCCCTATGGGGGATGTGCAGGAAGCAGCTGATCGATGTTTCTCTTTCATCAATGTTTCTGACTCTCTATCTCTCTCCCTTCCTCTCTGTAAAAAATCAATAAAATATATTTAAAAAAAAAAGTTATTTCCTTACACGAGGCACTTAGATAGATGCCCTTTTGGATGTAATCCTAACAAAAGTAGAGGGGACAGCCCTGGCCGGGGGGGTAGCTCAGTTGGTTGAGCGTGGTCCCATGAACCAAGAGGTCAAAGGTTCCATTCCTGGTCAGGACCCGTACAAGGATCAATCAGTGACAGCATAAATAAGTGGAACAGCAAACTGATGCTTCTCTCTCTCTCTCAAATCAATCAATAAATTAAAAAAAAAATTTAAGTAGAGGTGACATCTACTTTGTGTGCATTTGTTAACTTCTGAAAATGACTAAAGGTGAGAAGGAAAAAACCTTCCATAGTTTTCATTTTCTTTTTTTAAAAATATATTTTATTGATTTTTTTACAGAGAGGAAGGGAGAGGGATAGAGAGCCAGAAACATTGATCAGCTGCCTCCTGCACACCCCCCACTGGGGATGTGCCCGCAACCAAGGCACATGCCCTTGACCGGAATCGAACCTGGGACCCTTCAGTCCGCAGGCCGACGCTCTATCCACTGAGCCACACCGGTTAGGGCCTCATTTCCTACTAATTACTTTATTTTCCTTTCAATGAAACGGAACGCAGCCGACTCCGTGCACTAAAAATAAAACTTCGACCATTTAACATGTCACACAACTGCACTGCGGACAAATATAACTGACCAGTGACCATCTCATCTCCACAAATCACTGTCCCAGTCATAGCCATGTCGGTTTAAAAGACCCGTCTTATCTTTTTAAAAATATATATGTACATTTTTATTGATTTCAGAGAGGAAGGGAGAGGGAGCGAGAGATAGAAACATCCACGTGAGAGAGACACATCGATAGGTTGCCCCCTGCACGTGCCCCGACCAGGGCCGGGGATCGAGCCTGCAATGGAGTTCCGTGCCCTTAACGGAACTCGAACCCAGGACACTTCAGTCTGTGGGCCTATGCTCTTCCCATTGGCAGATTGCTTTTCTGGAGGGCAAATTCCTTTAAAAAAAAAAAAAAAAAGGTGAACTCTTTTCAAAAACCATTCCAGTGTTTACCAACTCTCATTGCCAAGACATGCTTACTTCATATTAAATTTAAAGATTTCATCGGAAAGAATTTAATTCCAATTTTTAGGGGAGGAGAATAATGCTATCAGAAGAAAAATAATGTTCTGTACTGAAATCACAGTACTGAACACTCATATACTAATTATCAAAAATGACTTCCTAGATCTAATTTATAGATTATGAAAAAAACACACACAAAACCTTTTCTGAAAATGACTATAAAATGAGAGGGGTAGCCCTAGCTGATTTGAGCCAAATCAGGGCTACCTCTGTCATTTCGTTTAATTTATTTTTAAAATATATTTTTATTGATTTCAGAGAGAAAGGGGGAGGGAGAGAGATAGGAACATCCATGATGAGAGAGAATCATGGATCGGCTGCCTCCTGCACGCCCCACTGGAGATTGAGCCCACAACCTGGGCATGTGCCCTTATGGGAATCGAACCGGTGACTTCCTGGTTCATAGGTCGACGCTCAAGCACTGAGCCACGCAGGTCTAGCTACCCTCTCCTTTTTTTTGTTTTAATATGTTTTTATTGATTTCAGAGAGGAAGGGAGAGGGAGGGAGAGACAGAAACATCAATGATGAGAGAGGATCATGGATCGGCTGCCTCCTGCAAGCCCCACACTGGAGATCGAGCCCACAACCCGGGCATGTGCCCTGACCAGGTATTGAACCCGTGACCTCCTGGTTCCTAGGTCGACCCTCAACCCCTGAGCCACGGGCCGGGCTGCCCTCTCCTTTTAAAGCGGGAGAAAGAAAGGGTCAGCGAGGCCGAGCAACACGCCAACGGAAACGCAGTGACAGGCCCCCTCCCGCCAGACAGTGCCGTCCGCCCCCCGACTTCAAGGGAACTGTACCCCACAGCGAGCGGACACGCAGGAGCCCCTGTGCCCTTCCTCCCCCGCTCACTGTCCCTTCGATCTTGAAGCGGTCACTTCCCACGAGCTCGGATCTGGGCGTGTGAGCGCCAGGGTGGGAGGAGGACAGGGCTGTGCCACGTGTTCACCCACCGACCCCGGCCGGACTCCCACCGCCGCGAGGGCTTCCCGGCCCGGAGACCGGCAGGGTCACGGGCGCCGCCCCGGGCTCACGTGGGACGGAGGGAAGAGCAAACAGAGCCGCAGCGCAGCGTGACGGTCAGCGAGGGGGAAGCGAGCGGCTCTCCTGGTTCGGATGCAACACCGAACACACACACGCGTGCGTGCGCACATGCACACACGCACACATGCGTGAACACACGCACAAACATGCACATGCACACACCCATGTGCACACGCACGTACATGCACACGCCTATGCACACGTGTCACATGCACGCCCGCGCACATACGTACATGCAGGCCCACACAGTGCACATGCGCACACGTACGCACACATGTGTGCACACGTGCACACGCGCACACGTACGCACACATGTGTGCACACACGCACATGCACACTTGCGCGCGCACGTACTGCACACATCCGAACATGGGCGCACATGCACACACATGCACACACTCGTACATGCACATCCGCACGCGCATGCACACACACGTACATGCACACAGACGCACACGCGCACACATGCACGCACATGCACGCACACACTCGTACATGCACATCCGCACATGGGTGCACGCACACGTACATGCACACATGCACACGCACACACATACACACACGCACAGGATCGCTATTGGCACCGTGGCACACTCAGCTGTGACGCGTTATATTAAAACGGAGGGAAAAAGAATGTCAGCCACGGCACCTGGCAATTCATCCGCATTATTTAACCCTGCAAACAGCTCGGAGGAAAGGAGTATTAATCCACTTTGTTTTTTGTTTGTTTTGTGTGTGTGTGTTTTTTTAAAGAAAGAAGCCAGCGGAGACGAGCCACATTATGAGTCATGACGTGAGCCCAAGGTTTGTCTGGCTCCGCAATCCCATTCCTACCCCTCACATTCCCCCCCTGTCACCCCCACCCCCGTTAAACCAGGACTCGCTCCCTGCACAGGACTTTTTTTTTAAATATATATTATATTTATTGATTTAAGAGAGGAAGGGAGAAGGAGAGAGAGAAACATCCATGATGAGAGAGAACCATGGATCGGCTGCCTCCTGCACGCCCCACACTGGGGATCGAACCCGCAACCCGGGCCTGTGCCCTTGACCAGGAATCGAACCCGGGACCCTTTGGTCCGCAGGCCGGCGCTCTATCCACGAGCCCCACCGGCCGGGCAGGACTCTCTTCCTTTGTTTAAAACGCCCTCCACGCCATCCCTCTTCCGTCCCCATTAAGCAGCAGGTTCTGCAGCAGTAACTCTGTTCCGGACGGACTGCTTCCTGCCATCGGAAACCACCGCTTCAAAGCCGGAGGGAGGGAGCGGCCGGAAAGGTCCTCCTTATGCCCAAGTGCGGCCTCCTCTTTCTAAGAACCAGGCTCACAGCCCGGCCCGGCTCCGGGAGCGGCACCGAAAGGTCAAAAGGTCACGGGTTCACCTCCAGGTCAAGGGCAGGTACCTGGGCTGCAAGGGCAACCCATGGATGGATGTTTCTCTCTCTCTTCTCCCTCCCTTCCGATCTCTTTTAAAAAATCAATGGAAAAAATACCCTCAGGTGAGAATTAACAGCCAAAAAAAAAAAATCAATTAAAAAAAAAACACCTTCTCGGGTAAGGATTAAAAAAAACCTTTTTTTAAAAAAAGAACAACACTTAGAAAAACAGAGCTATCACCTGGCCGGTGTGGCTCAGTGGATAGAGCGTCCGGCCTGCGGACTGAAGGGTCC